TGTGTGTGTCTGGGGTGCTGTGTGTGTGTCTGCTGTGTGTGTGTGTGTGTGTGTGTGTTGGCTGTGTGTGTCTGGGGGTGCTGTTTGGGAATTAATTTTAAATATATATATTTTTTTTATTAATAATTTTTTTTTTAAGTTATGTTCCCCCCCTCCCCTCCCTTCTTACCTTTAGCCTGGGAGGGGGAGGGAGCCGTTCTGCCTGGGACGGGGGAGCCTTGAGGGGGGACCATGCTGCATTCCCTGGTGGTCCAGTGGTGAGAGTGAACTCTAACCTGCAGGTTAGAGTTCACTCTCGCGAGATCTGAGCGTTGCCGCGGCAACGCTCAGAATCTCGCGAGAGGACCCGGCGGAGCTGCTTGTTAGAGCTCCGCCGGGTCCTCCCTCCCTCCCTCCCTCACCCAGCTGGCGGCCGCATTTCCCTGTCTGTGGGCCGGTGAGGGAGATCTTTGATCTCCCCACCGGCCCATGGAGGCACACAGCGGGGCCGGCGCTCGGATAGCGCTGGCCCTGCAGGGGCCGGCCGGGGAGATCCCCTGCCGGCCTCGGCCCGACGGCCATCGCGGCCCACCGGGCATTTGCCCGGTATGCCCGATGGCCAGTCCGGGCCTGGGCGGGGAGGTAGCAAAATGCTACTTTGTCTGTGTAGCTTAATGTTTGTTTATATTGATATTTATATGAGTGCGGGTCTGTGTATGTATGTATGCATGCAAGAGTGTATTTGTATGTATGTATGTGTATGTATGTATGTATATGTGTGTGTGTTTGTGCCTTAAGGTGCACTCACTAATGCAATAGGCTGTGCACGCCTATGAATAGGTTTATTCACTGAAGTGAGAATTCAAAGTGAAGTATAGTTAACTTAGAGAATGATTACAGCTCATCTGCTTTTACCTTGAATTTGAAATTCACTTTCAATTCTCACTTTAGCAAATAATCCTGAATGGCTGCAAAATGATGGATAGAAACATTGCACAACATAAAAGAGCATGTAGAGGCATGAGAAGGTTACATACTAGTATATAGTTTTCTAATTGGGTACTGAGAAATGCATCCATCTGGAGCCACAAATCTCATGTCTGAACACTATGATTAATTTTCAAATATTGTCATTAACATAAAAACGGATTTCATGATC